CTATGATGCAGATCACCAAAAATTTACTATGTTTTACAACTCCCTATTGATCTGCGTGACATGTCCTGTGACTGGTATCTGCTGAAACTTTGTATTTGATTAATATTTCTGCAGATACCTTCTAAATTTGTACTAGAACGGAATCCGTTATGATAAGTATGTAACAAACAAAAATATAATCATTTACGATCTGAGAGATGAAAAGAGAGAAACATACAATCAATGGAAAATGTATAAAAATAAGTAAAAAATACTCTAACTGATTATCCTTTCTTTATGAAAGAAATAAATTCTTTAACACTTTCAAAACCCTTTTAACTCTATATTTTAAAATACTTGTAAACTATTTAAAATTATAAGGTCGTAATAAATGATCAAAATTGTGTGATCAAGCTCAAACAATAAATTATTAATTGAAAACTTATATTTAAAACATAGTCATTGGAAATATTATAAACAATTTTGAAAACTACTCGTAAGGATTTAAAAGGATTAATATTAATAAGTTAGCTGTGTTTAATAATTATTTAATAAACAATATTATTAAGAGCATTAGTAATATAATAATCTCGAAGACGGACAAATAACTAGTAACGACATATCAAAATGTCTCATCAACAACAAATTCTTGAACAAATTTAATGAAATACATGTAGAAACGAAATATTGATAAATTTTTTTTAGCAGTATAAGATTAGATAAGTCGCGCGAATTCAATTTTTTTACATGATCACGTGATGTACAATTATGTTATATTTGGCATATGCGTGAAATTTCTGCTACAAAAATAGAAAGGTATACCAGCAATTAACCAAATTAGATATAATTATTCACGTTTCTGCTTTTGATATATACTTTCTGCTTAACGTCGAGGATCATCATCCTTGGAGCCGTGGAATAACCATTACTTATTATTTGTACAATCTACCTAATCCAAAAAAAAAGTCTATCTCCTGAATTTTACTTCGCTACTTACCGAATTACTTTGAGTACAGTGAGTGTCACATTAGTGCATGCAAAATAATTGGTTTTCTTAAAATTGACGAGTTAAATTTTCATGTAATTTTTGAAGAAAAACAATAACAATGTAAATTAATTATTCTAATTAAAAGCCATTGAACTACGTTAAAATATTTTAAATGAGTTCAGTGTAACGATAGTCATAGTCAAGTTAAAGCTCGATATTGTATATATAGTTCCGCAACTTTTGATTGGTCACATATATTCTTCCAATCCTCCAAAAATGGAAATGCTGCATCAAAAAAATAAGTCATGTTTCGAAGCCAAGACCCTTCTCTACAAGTTACGATTTCATTTTGTTGATATGTCAGAGGATTCGTGCCTCAAATTTGCACAAATTTATCAATTT